GCTGAACTTGCACATTCTTATAGTAAGACAGAGGACATACAAAGTTTTGAAGCATGGTGATTAGAAAATCCATAGAAAGCCATCATCACAAAAAAGTGATGTATGAGTACAGAAATATATATCAGAATCTTTCCAAATGCGGCACATCGTACCACTGGACTCTGACACACTTTAGAGGAATGAATCTTCACTGAGCAATTAAATTACTGGTTTTCCACTTGTGATTTCAATGATGTGGTAACTAGTAATATAAACCGAACCCTGATAATTGTGTGTGCGGACACACACACACAAAAAAAAAAAAAAAAAAAAAAAAATGAGAGCACCTGTCCCTAAGGGTGTTCCTATTCTTTGTTCCATGAAATCCTACACAGGTTTTGTTGAGATACAAACAGTTGGGGGAAAAAAAGAACTGTCATTTCCTTAACTGACTCAGCCTTCTCAGGAAAATTTTGGCAAGACCTAAAATGTCACCTGAGATGGGATATTTTCAGACCTTGCTGTCAAAGCAACAACAGACAATACTGCAATGGGAATGCTACAGAGCTGTCACTGCAGTTGCAACAGGAGGACAGGAAAGAGCCACATTAGTATCTCTCTCCCACTGGTTTTGGGAATTGCCCAAAACCTCATGAAGCCCATCTTCCCTTTCAGGAATAATGAAAAAAAATCTGCTGCTGTTGCCTGCTAATTTTGCCAAGCTTGAGGATCACACATTAGAAATCTGCTCAGAGGAGAAGGTTCAGGTGCCAAAATACTGCTCATACTAGGTAAAAGAAGGACCACTTGAGTTTTGTGCCTATGGCTTCACCTCTCTTCTTATCCGACCTATTCATCTTTATCTTATGTGCAGACACACACACACATATAAAACATATATAAAGGCACTACAATAATATAATGTAGGTGGCAAAGTCAAGCACTCAAAAGCGAAGTAATGACAAATTTAAGGCTGCCTGAACATTATGCATTACCACGTTAAAAATTAATCACAATTTACTCTTTTGAAAAGACTTTTTCAGTGCTTCAGTGCTCAAAACACGCACACAGAGAGGCAGGATTACAGTTCTGTGTAATGAGCTCCCCTACAATCTTCAGGATAAGGCAATCTTCCAGATGAAATGGATCCAACAATCTATCACCATTGTAAATCTCTACGCTATGAAGACCGTATATCAGAGAGGAAGTTTTTGGGTACTTTTAACAATTTACATTTTTGCTTGCTGACTTCCAATTAGAAAGCTTCCTGCCCAGCAGAACAGAGCTTTTCTGAGGGCTTTAACATCCTTAGTAATCTGCACAGGAATACACACCAAAGGATGAGGCCTTGGTGTTTATATCTGATTGACTATAAACTGACCATAGCAAGGAAGCGTGACGTTAAAGCATCATTCTCACTATTTGATCTACCTGTATCTCTTTGCATTAGGAACCTCCAAAAGGTTGCTACAAGCAGGAATCTGAACCTCCAAAGAAAACAGGCAGAATACGCAGAATATGTGTGCGTGTGTGCATACACACCTGCTTGTGCTGGGGGGAACGTTGGGGCTCAGCAAAGTACAGAGTAAGTGTAGACTAAACAGAATATTAACAATGGGTCACTATTCAACTTCTGTTTAAATAACTGTGTCAAGTGACCAGATTGGCTGGATTATTAACAACACATTCCCTACTAAGCTTATTATAGCATTTTACCTATTTCCACAACTCAGGGAAGGTAAATCTGAAATGCGTATTCCTTGTATTTGTTATTTCCAGACTATTCACAAGTAAGACTGCACAGTTGAAAACCTACTCCATGATGTATGCTGTGGGGGCTAGTACGACTCATAATGGAAAACAAATTCTCTCATTTTAGCTGTGATTTCTACATTTAAATGCTACAGATTTACTCTTCCCCAAGAAGGCTAGGATAAATGCATGGGTCTTGGTAACCACCAATATGTTTGCACAAGGTTCATTCACAGGGGATTGTATATGGAGGCTTAACTGGATTCAAGGCAACTAACAATTTTGATAAATTGTTACTTTAACAGTGATTACAAGTAATTAAAATGCAAAACAGTAATTAAAATATTTTGTGTGTAATTACTGTTCTTTAGAAATCAAACAAATCCTACTAACTGTATTTCTTACCATGCTAGATTCATTACTTACTCCATATTGTTCTGGCACACATTAAGACACACGTTTTAGCTTGGGATATATGTGCATGTATATATATGTGCACATGCATTTTAAGTATGGGGAACATCACTGCAGCATTTGATTAAGGAGACTAATTGGAAAAAATTACAAGAGTTCTGAGTAGATAAACAGCAATATTAACCTATGAGCCTTTTAAAAATGCAATGGAGGCAAAAAATACTGTACCTTGTTCCAATATCCAGCCAGCTTCCATAATCTTTAACCAAAAAGAAAAAATGCTAGGAAATAAACCAACTTTGATTAGTACATCAACATTGCACAATTTGAAACACAAAATTAAAACCCATGTTTTCAGGCTGTTTACTCCAAGTTTCTAATTCTTCAGGTAGAACAAGGGCAAGACCTTTCCAGGAATGCTCATTTGGACTAAAGTAAAGAATAGTCTAAGGAACCAAGAATAGATTTAACATGGAATCAAACACAAACACCTAAAGATGGACTAAGTTCTGTCAAGCTGGGCTTGCAAGAAACAGAAGATTACCAGCAGAGAACTTTTCCAATATGAAAAAGCTACCTTATTGCCTGAAATATCGGGATCCCAAACAATGCCTAGTGCCAAAGAAAACGCTGCATATTGTTTTCATGGAATTTCACCACAAATTTCTTTGGGCAATTCTGGCAGTTCCCCACCTGTACAATGGGAGTCATGTTGGGAGAAGATAGCACTTGTCTGTTATTGAATATCCCAAATTCTAGCTGGTGGCCACATTGATTCAGGACCACAAACCAGTTCTCTCTTTTTCCTGCCAACTTTCTCATTTCTTGATTTACACACATTTCCTGCACATCAAACCTCTTTGGTAATATTTTGTTTGTACACCAAGTACATATTTGCTAATTGTTTTAAAATAGTTAAACCAAAATAGGAGATATATGAGATATAAGACCTGGATATACAGGGGCTTGCTACACACCAGTACATGCCTGCACTTTTCTTTTGGTGTAGGTAGATTGATTTTATTAATGAAATGCTATGAGTGTGGTTTACTGGTATTTTAATATTTTTCCTGTGAAGTTAATAAAAAATCAGATTAGTTACACAGATTTATTTGAAACTACATAAAACTTTATCATCTTCATTTCTCACTCTACAGACAAATTACTCTTTATTTGGTTTGTCTTACTTTTTTTTTTTCCCCCTATCAGGTGAGATCCATGCTGTACAAGGAAATTATATCACGAATGCTTACTCCAGAACACAAACTCTACCTGCAGCTTTGAAAAGGTTTCTCTCTACCTTGTGATACCTAGGGGCACTGCTTGCTGGGTTGAAGACAGTTCAAGGGGGCAACACAAACACACTTTTAATCTGTAAAAATTACGCTGGGGCGTTGTTGAGCCTTGGGTTGTTTTAGCTAGCTTGGTTTGTGGTTGCAAGCTTTCTGAAGATAGCATTTCCTAACAGCTTGTTACAAAGGGCACAAAGTGTCTTTTTGAGTGTTGCTATCTCCTGGATTCTGACAACTTTAACAGAGCTAGTGGGTAATGCATGTCTCCTTTTCCTCTCTTTTTCAAGGGAAGGTGGGGTGAGTAAAAGGTTCAAAAATTAACTAAACCCTGCACACAGCTAAACCCAACAGTCTTATTTAAATTCTTCCTAAGAATTTGATTGGAAAGCACATGAAAAACTCAGAATGATAACTTACTACTTCATTTTTGTCTCTTATTAGTTTGAGAATATTGCTTCTTCAGAAGCATTAATTACATGAAATTCAAAGAGCGGTGATTGGAGGAGTTTTATCTCTAAATTATGCTAGGATTTCAATCCAATTCACTGCCCTAGTTACAAAAACTTTGAAGTCTGAAACAAATTCAGATCTCTTTAGATGGAGTTAGGAGAGCTCTTTGCTTCTTGATCTTATTTGAAGAGAATGTGCAACAACAACTTACCAAAGCCATAATGTCTGAAATCACAAGAACAATGAGGAAAAGGCTGCAAAAGGAAAAAAAAAAACCAAACAGAAAAACGCAGACCATCAACCTTTATTCATGGCCACAGATGTTACAAAGCTTATTAAAACCTCCATAAAGAAATTGAAATCAGATATGATTTCTTGCACTTGCCTTTCAATCACTCAGATTCATTTCAGTCTATTAGAGAACAGTTAAAATATATGGCTAGAACATCTGGCATTTGTAATCCCACTCTGCTTGAAAAAGACATTTCACATTAACAGACTTCCAATTTTACTACAGAGACACCTAACAAGTCATTTATTGGAGAACAAGAGCATCTTACAAACAGCGCCTGCCCATTCCTGACGCAAGGAGCTCATGTGCTTGTTAGGCCAAATAAAGCTGATTTAGACATTTCAAGATGGACTCAAGAGCGAGCAAAGCCGTTTGGCACAGGCAGGCAGATACCGGAGCTGATCGGTCCTATCCTGACAACCACCCTGCTGGGTAGGAGACTGCTAAAGGAGGTGCTCGCCCCCCCTCCAGATCTCTGGGTGCCTGTAAGCTGCTCTGGGAACGCCCAGCATTTTGGCGGCATGCTCCTAAACCCTCTCTGTCAGGTGGCAGGTTACTTCTAGAAAGTAGGCTGCAGCCAGTAAAAGGAACCAGAAGGGAGTGCACAGAGCTATTTTTTCCCCCATTAACCTAATCTTATTTTCATTAAACTAAGTAAATTCTAAATTACATGAAAGCAATTGCTATAACTGGTTAAAACTAGTTTCTAAGTTAATGACACTGAAGCAATGTTGCAAACAGCTGACCCATCAACAGAAAAAGCCTTTAACTAGAACACAGTTAATTCATCAGTACTACCATCATCAATCCACGAAGCTTTTTTTGGGAAAAGTCCTGTGTTGCACAAGCATGTACTGGGGGGGGACACTCATACCAATGCCTCCTGATGAGAAAGTTCCTGATACTGCCAATGTCAGCTATGCTTCATTAGTAAATAAGGATGCAACAAACTGACTGTATCTCAGGCGCACTGAAAGGCTTCTCTCCACTCACCTATGGCTCAGATTGGATGTTGCAACCTTGTAGTGCCTAGGAGGCACTCAGCTAGAGGGCTGTTTCCACAGGCAAGCTCCAAGAACATATTCTGACAGAACATTCCCCATGATCAGCAAAAAAACCAAACAAAAACCCAAACAAAATCACTCTAATCTGTAAACAGGGAGTTTAGGAGGAATTTGTCCAAATAATAAAAATCTACTTTTTGCCCTTCTGAACTGCAGGAAGCCTTTCACAACAGAAGGACAACACTAATTTCAGGGCATGTTTATACACCGCAAAGACCAGATCGTCCCCTGTGATGGCTTAGTTTATCTAGCAGGAGCAGCAAGAGCAATAAAGAGTGCAGCACAGACTTCAGGACATGCTGACAATGAGAGCACAACCTCTCCAGGGATCCTGGGTGCATCTTGTGGTTTCCAGGCTGATGCTGTGGCAGCATCACTGCTATTGTTACCTAAGCACAGCTAAACGAAGTCGGCACAAATACCAGCCAGAGTTACAAACCACTGCCTCATAAAGCAGCACAGACGTACTCATGTCCCCTGGTTTAAGAAGCTGGTATCGTTTCCCCTCTCACGCATTCAGATGCACATCCCATAAAAGCTTGCGATATCACCAGTGCTGCCATGGTGACCATTCACAAGCTAGGAAATGCTGACCTTTATGATGCCTGAACCCTAGAAATGGAAATAGGACAGTTTTCTGTGTAAACCCAATTCCTCAATGCAGCCCTGCTCTTGTATAAGCCTTAGTGAGGAGGACAAATACCCTTCTCCTTTGGGGGTCCAGGCACAGCCCAAGTACGCTGCGCACACAGCTAAGGCAGAGAAGGTAAAAGGGATGGTGAGCCTTGTGCTGCCTCTCCAACAAGAAGTCCGATTTCAGGCTGCCCTGTCCCTCCTTAGTACCAGGTGGTGTTGTATAGAGACAACAGGCAGGGCACAGGCAGGATGAAAACAAACAGAAAGGCAGAGGGCATCACACTGAGCAAGGGCAGCTGCCTCCTGCTCCGCTGAACAATATGCAGGGGACAGTCTCTGCGGTCCCCCTGCCACGGACAGTAAGGCTTTTGGTCCTCACACAACATCCCATGGTGACAAATTCAAAACCACGTGGCTGACCGGGACCTCCTCCATCTCAGCACCACCCATAATCTCACATGATGAACAGAGGATTCAGTGCACTGCATCCACTGAAAGAGGTAGAGAGGGCTAACAGTTAAAAAAAAAATAATCTTGAGAGTGAAAAGTGTGAGGGTATTTCAAATCTGGATACAGCACTCTGCGAGGCTGGACACCCGTTTCACATTCTCTTTGAAAAGTCTTTAGAGATGGGGAAAGGACTGGCAGCCATCTAGCCCTACTGCAAAAAATAAGAAATACTGAACACCTGGGAAGCCTTGAACTGCAATGGAAGGGCATCCAGCCCTTTATTATTATTTTTTTTTAAATGCTATTTGTCATGAGGTCAGTGCTACAAAGCTGTAAACTGGTTACATTATAAATGGGTTATTTTAAAAACATTGTGCTATAAGCAAAGATGCAATACAAAACAAAAATCAGACTTTAAATTCTGCTCATTTTTCTACATTATGGGGGAAAAAGTGCTCCTTCTGTGTACTGTCAACAAAGAATATTAAATATCTGATTGTTTCAGACAGGGCCAACACTTTCATTTATACTCATTTATCACTAAGAAAAGAATTCCTAAGCTTGCAAAATCACTGAACAAAACACCCAAACCATAATAACAAAGAAAAGCAACAATATAATATATTGGCTGATTATTTTTTTTAAATTTAGATTGAGATTTGACAATTCTGAATTCTTGCAAAATAGATTTGAAATCCTTACTAATGCAGAAATACAGCACTTACTGTACCTCTTAGAAGACAGCTGTGTTGTGACTTGAACAGCTTCGAAAGCACATGATACCAGAACAAACGGGATTACAACCTGTTTGAAACACAAGCTACATTTTGGTTTATAGCCGTATTTACAAAACAACCTGGCAGGTTGTGGAAACATTTTCATGCCTTTGAAATTATCACAGAATGTGTACGTTACAAAAATAAAATATTGGCAAGAAAGGGTAGAAACTCATTTTGCAGGAAGCATGTTTAATAAATGAATAAAAACCTCCTTCCATGGTCATAGCTGAACTGCAGTGAAATAAGCCATGAGGCAATATGGAAAACTATAATTAAAACACATTAATGATCCTCACTTCATTTATCCATTTTAGCACTAGCGATAAATACTTCAACAAGGCTAGAAGACAGAACTATTCAGATCCCGTATCTCATGTGACAGGCTGCAGAGCTCCAAGCATAACAGGAGAATCTCATCTCAACCACAAAAAAATCTGAACAGAGAATGCATTCAGTAAGGCAAGGATCACACTGCCCCTCCAAAGCCAAGTCAAGCAAATGTAAACATTTCAGGAAATTAAGAACAAAACAAACGAGTTAGAAACATGAATGTTGCCATTTGCTCTTTCCAAAGTTGACTTGTAATCCTTAAGTTAGTAGTGTAAATGCATCACAACTCTTACAGGCTAAAACCTGTTCCCTCGCATCCAGAAGGTTTGCGTTATTGACTTACGTCCTGCAGTATACCTGTAACTTAAGTCTGCTTTCTCTGGGACAGAGGTAGCAGAAAGCAGAGGCAGGAAATACTGCTTTATTTTAGCAATAATCCATAAATTCCACATCTCCCTTCCTGTTTGCCTCTTTACCTCTGCCTCTGGCAGACCCTGTACTCAAATATTAGAAAAGAGCTCCCACACCTTGCCTGCAAACAAGAAGTGCAATCCAATCTCTGCTAGACTATTAAAAATAATATTCATTGTAAAATGACAACCTAATCAGTAGAGCATTCAAATCCTGTACTCAATGTAATGTAGATAGGGCTAATAAAACACATATAGATCCTCAATGTTTCTGTAGATATTATACTATAGGGAAAGCTTATCTTTTTTTTAAATAATTTAAGTACTTCCATTTTAATACAATAAACTGATCTAATACAGTTAAATTATACTTCCATGCACTTTGGCTTCTCTCTTCTGGGAATCAGAAGGGTCTGTCTCTAGAAACAGTACAAAGGCTGAAAGCTTCATACATGGTTAAGAAGGCTAATGAAGCTCAAATACATATATATGTTTTTGCAAAGTAACAACCGTGTATGTGATATGTTATTTATTAAACAGTTCTTTGAGAAAATTTCACTAAGGTGAGATCACTAACCTTCAGCACAAGCAAGCCTCCCATCGTGAAGGGGCTGAACACAGTCAAGAAACAATAGACGGAAGCAGGATCAAAACTAGAGAAACATGAAAAAGACATTACAACACATCCTTGAAATGGCATTTTCCATTAAAAAACCACAGCATTTAGTTACTCTTGTAACACACTGTGCATATATACATTTGTAAACGAGGGTTCCAACCTTCTCTTCTCTTGCTCAATTAGCAAGGACTGCCTACCTCACTTTTCTTTTTCTACAGTATTTCACTGCTCGTGTCTTTCAAGGTGCCATGGTGTTGGTGAGCTGCCGAGCTCTCTCAGCTCATGCTGCCAATAAGTTATAATGGCAATTGAGATGACCTCATAACCAACAAGCTCAGACTCTTAGGGAACATGCTACAGAGAGCAGAAATGAAATAAATTTTTATTATTATTCCACTGACTATTGCTTTAATTCTGCTGCCCTGATTTTGCTAACCAAATTTATATTTAGCACACCAACTGTAGGAAAAATTTTTTGTACCCTACTGTGTCTCAAATCAATGAATAAAATTTACCTGTTAACAGAAGCTATGTTTCCAGTACCAAAAAAGGCTGTCACTATGAAGAAAACCTAGATGTATTTAAGAGAAATACACCACAGAAATAGCTGCAGTAAAACAAAACCAGCATTTCCCCTCCCCCCCCTTCATTCCAATTTACCAATTCAAAATCCTATCATGAAACTATACAAGAAGCTGACACACTATTACAGCTTTACACTACATTAAGAAATCCAAAGTATTGTCTAGCTCTACCCAAGATTTCACAGATGACTCTGTCAATTTTAAAAGACAGGGACTGCCTAGGTAAGATTTTAGAGCCTGTCTTGAGGCCCCTGCCAGAAAACCGCAGCTTGTTTTTTCTGGGCCCCTACCTAGTAAGGTAGGAACATCCCTGGACCACAATCCCAGCTATGCATTCAAACACACATGGTTTTGCAGAAAGTAATGACATACACATGTGTACCACACACCAAAAGAGATGGCTTTATTGAGGAATTGACTGTGGAAGAGATAGTTGGCTACGAAACAAGACTAAAGGTTCCTATGCTATCCCTCCCATAGCTTTGCTGTCCAAAGGTTATGCTGAGTCCATCCATTGCAACACGAGACTCTCGGGGTTTTTTTCCTTACTTGATGGAGGGAGGACAACTTGGCAGTATCTGCACAGCTGAAAGTTTTTTTATAAGCCCTATCTTTTTCATGTAGATACAACGCTTGCTGCTACATAAGCTCATGATAGATAGTTTCCTACCTCCTGAGCTCTTTGGGGCCTATTATAGCTCACATCTCTCCTGTCAAACAATGTTTTTTAACTGCTTTTTTGCATCAGGCAGAGGGTTAGTCAGTGATGATGGCTGCTGTTGCCAGAGCTCCCTCTGGTCCTTCCACTCCTGTTATAGCTCCTGCATTGGATCATTTAAGTCTCTGCATAAACAATTTGCAACCAACTGTTCAGCAGAATCGTTGGGCTTCTGCATGCAATATTTTGGAAGGATTAGGTCAGCATAACTAACAAAATTATGCTTCCCAAGAGTATCACATCATTTCAAGTTTAGTAACGCAGCAGTCTAACAGCATAGTGAAATTCTGCCAGTTAAGATTTATAAGAACAACAGTTCTGCAATAAAACAAACAAAAAATACCAGTAGCACATAATCTATTCAAAATGCTAAGCATAAGCAATCTGAATCTTCTGTAAGGTCCCTCAGCACATGCTGACTTTTGGGCCCTATATAGGAACCTTGAGACAGTCTTAAGATACACAGCTCACAGGTATTCACAATGTGACTGCTCTTGTAGAAAAGGTTTCTCTTCTAATACCACTCTTTCTAAACATTAAACAGCATCCACAACATCTTTTGAGCAGGTGTGTATCATACCTGGTCTCTGCAAGGGATACCTGCCAATTGTGTATTTTTTCAGGAGCCGAACAAAATACATTCATGTGCTTTAGATTAGGATGAGATTAAAGTAGTGCTGCAATCAAGTGTTAGATTGAAGTAGTACTATGCTGAAGCTTTGAAAAATACAATTGGATTATTTGATTTTTGTTTTGGCTAACTTTTAGCATCTGACAGACAGCAGTAGCTTTACTAAAAGTTAGCTTATTTTTGGTTAAAAATAGCAAAATAGCAAATGAAATCAGTAAGTTTACTGCAAGGTGTCTCAGCTGCTTTTCAGGTATATTCTACAGCAAACACAAACGTTCAACATGTAGCAAATTGTTTTGTCTCCTTCCTTAGCGCTGACCCGCCTTCTTCTGAGGCTGAACCGCCTTCTTCTGAGGTATCTGTTGCGCTTCCTTTGCTGCAGGTTCCCATATTCCAACAGCGCACTCTGTGACTGTGATCCACCCTCTCAGATTTGGTTATTCCACAAACTATAAAGCTTGTTTTTGCAGGAACCAGTATTGAGGCAACTCCCTCCCCAGCTCCAGCTATGATAAACCCACCCGCACTAGAAACCCACCTGTTCTAGACTGGCTCATAATTTCTGTCCCACTTGCACACCCATCACCCCTGATGCCAAACACCTCTTGCTTAACAGCTGCAGTCCCATGATGGAAGAGAAAAAAGACCACATTATCAAATCTACATAGTATTAAAAACCCCAAAAATCGGCTGCAGTTTCAGTTAGAGTAATGCAAAATAACTGTTAACATTAGCGAATAAACAGCTCTTCTCTCCCAAGCCCAAATAATTCCTAATTGCAGAAACCATGTGTGATATAAATAATCCTAAGCCAGGTTCTGGGAACATGTTTCATTAGACTCTGCAGGAACCTTCCTATTCATGTCATCTGGCTGGCCATGGCCACTGCCTGTCCCCCCTAACATTTTCTTCCTAACACACTGCCATACTCTGAAAACGAGAATAACTTTAATACCTCCTTTTCTAACTGATTTGTGAAGGTTGAGTGAGTTCCCTCCAGCCAAAATGTAATAAAAAAAACCCCAAACTGAAAATAGGACTCCTTAGAAGGAAGTTCATCTCAACTGTAACGGTCATAAAAGACTAAACTTTTCAAACTGACCAAGGAGCCAGATTCCAAAACAGTGCAGTTCATACTGAATTTTTTTACTACTTTATCAAAAAACATAATGTACAAGATCATTGTCTTTTGAGCAATATGAGTCAAAATCTCCACACACTTCTGTTTCCAGTGTCTACCAGGCTACAGATTTTGATTGCGGGGCCTTCTGAAACAAACCCATCTTCTCCCTGGAATGCAGCAACCGACAAAAGGATACAAAGAAGAAAGACCTGCGGACATCATCTAGGTGGAGCTGTCGAAACTGAGTTATGTCAGTAGCATAGGTGAAGTTGAAAACAGCGAGCTGGAGAGACAGCAGAAGAAATCAATACCGAATATCAACTGAAGTACTTTGATAGAACCACCTTATTTTTACTGAAATGAATGAGAAATAAATCTACTTCCCTATCAGCTGTTATTAGAGTAGTATTATGATGAGGACTGCAAACCTTTCCCATATTTTCATTATACTTTAATGAATCTGCCAGAAAGATTGTACAAGTGAGATGATCAAATGAACAGTGGATCTTTTGCTGTTATCTACACTAAAAATGAACTTCTGTGCCTTCAATTTATCATCATCTTTTTTCGTCATAAATATTCCTCCTACACACACACACTTCCACTGCTCACATGAGCATGTGGATAAAGACCCACAGAAATAAAAGACTGCAATTATCCGCAGTTGACTTATGTTGTGAGTGACAATACTAAAATATTCTCCATCTCCTTCACTCAGTTCTCACCACAATATCATTTGACTTGAAGAGAAATTGTCTTCATGGAGTTTAAGAGGTCAATGAACTCCTTTTCACTGGGGAAAAGCAAAAATTCAAGTAACAGACATTCAACATTCACAACATTTTAATTAAAAATAATCTCACATCATCACAGAACTGAGTTGGATTCTCTAATACAAGATTCACTTTGTGGCATTCTAGAGATATTTTTTCTAATTTGAAAACAGGAAGCTGAGGTGAGATCATTATTGTTCCTTTCACTTGAAACCAGAAGTCAAATGACATACAGAGAAAACAGAAAACTTAATTACAGAATTTACCTATGTTCTTTTCATTTGCATTTGATTAATAAAGTGTTCATGACTGTTTAATGCTGCTTTAAATAGAATTTTATTTTAAAACTAACAGAATATCAGATCACCATCAGACAGGCAAGCGTCAGAGATGCCCTGTTACATGATGCAAAAGCCAGTGTGGGTTCTAGAGTGGAAGAGAACAGTACACCCTCAGATGACTGTGCTGTGCTAGAAACCTCCAGCTGCAATCACAGGCTCACGTAAGTGTACGTTTTTACATTCAGATTCCTTCTCTATCACTTAAGATGCTATGAAACATGCTCACACAAAATATCATAACTATACGTAGCATAAATAAAAAGTGATTCCCATTTCCATTTCTGATATTCAGCCTTAAATCAGTAAATGCTGTTCTCTCTCAAGTTTTAAAATCGTCTCCCTTGCAGGAGAACCATAACACCACAGTATGCGTCAGGCCTGCTCTTGTGACTGCTTTGGCTCAGATTTCACCTCCCGGCACTTCTCCCTAATTATCATGAGCTGCAAAAGGAAGGAAAGATGTGGACCGCCACTTCTCTTACAAGTGACTGTTACTCCCACGCATCCGTAACCAGATTCTCTGTGATCTGCATCAAGGACGACCCACTTGGGAGAAGGAGGGGAAAGCTCTGCTGCACACCTGCCTGGCTCCCAGCACCCCAAACGCTCTGCAATAGGCACTTTGCCTGTAACCGAATCAATGCATAGCCACTGTTTGTTAAACCCTTGACCTAGTCTAAAAAGCTAAGTGGCAATGTGAGCAGCATGGGTTTTGAAAACTGCTGACACGATATACTAAATTTTAGGGTGAAAGAAGTTGCATTGATACCTGTTCTAAAACTCCCTCTCTGGGCAAATCTGAGAATGTACTAGGTTCCAATTTAGTCTCTGGCTCATTGTCTGTCTGATCATAAATAAAACACCATCCTTGACGAAAAATAGTGTCAGGTCAGGGCAAAGTCAAATAAGATGTCTGGCATTTCCCATGGGTCATTTCTGAAATAAAATTATTTCTTTTCAGCCTCTCACATGGATACTCATTGACTCTGCAATCAGAATAAAAAAAAGTACAGTGACATCGTACTTACTTTAAAGAGAGTTACTGTACCTTATGCTGAATTAGCATGACACGCAACAAACAGAGCTTGGTAGCCTACAGAACATACCACTACGGCAAACTGATTTCCTGCATTCCTAGAAATGGCTCTAATGTGGAGTATCTTCCATAATACCAATTATAAATCTCTCTTACAGAGAGATTTCATAAAACAGCTGATACTGGCTTCCCAAACTTAAAGAAATGCAAAATGTTGCTCTATGAAAACCACTCAGAACATTTATTATAACCTTGAGGAAAAAAAAAAAAGATAAAGCTGATAATTAACTTGATCTAGCTATCTGGAGCTGTTACCTTCGGTTTGAGTGAAAGGCCATAGTGCTGCAGTGCTTCTTGCTCCATGTATATCCACACAAACATCAAACCGGACAGCACCAGTGGAAACAGAGCTTCATACCTGAAGAGTAACATAATAATCATAGTAAGTGCATTTACTAACAACTAGTCAACATCAAATACTGACCTGTTTCTTTTTTCTTTACACAAATGATATATCAAAGACCTAATGGCATTCTCCCCCCTCTCTCCCCATTTCTGAGGAGTACCCACAGTTGGTTGGTTGAAGTTATAATCCATACAGTGATTAACTGGGAGAAGTAGGAGAACAAGAGGCTGCTTCAGCTTTGCCATGGTTTGTACCCATTTCCTTATCTGATGGCTGCCACAACATTGGATGAGTGCCCTTTGTGTCATGATTAATTTTAATAAAACTGGCATAAAATTTAAAGAAACAGGAAAAAAACCACATTTGGCATCTCTATAATAAAAAGAGCATGACATCTCACTGAAGTTAAACGTCCTTTTCTTTACTACATACCAATCCATCGCAATAGCAGAATCAAGTCATGCTCTAATCAAGGCAACTAAACTATTCTAGCTAGACCCCCGATCTCAGAGTACTTCTGGGTCCTGCACCACTCAACACACACAGCAAACTGTGAGTGTACTTACTTGAGAGATTAAAATCCTTGGGTAACATAGGGGTGCAGATTGTCATTGGATAATATTAATTTCTCCCTACCCTCTACACCTCAGCTGTTTGTTTGTTCTTTCTTGCAGGATAAAATTATAATACTAACACCGAATGTAACACTAATACTGACAAGATTGTAATTTTTCCTTTTTACTTTTTTCCTTCTTGGACACAGACTTGTCTAAAAATAAGAAAATTATTGCAGTTAATCTTGATATTGTTTCTGTACTGTGTCTCCCCACTAATGTAGCTACAAAGCAGTTTCAAACTGGAATAAAAAATTTTGGATAGACATTTCTGCTTTAATTATCAGAATCACAAGCAGTTAATGAATATGAAGATGACAATGCTTGGGTTATCAGTAAGAAAAGTACCTGCAAGCCTCACAGTGGTCTACACTTGCCTACAAACTGAATGTCTTCAACTGAGTCAGTGACAACTAGTTGCATACAACCATGCTCTTCAGCTGGCTTCAATACTTCCACTTAACTGCACCTACAGAGGTGCTGTAATCCCCTAAGCAAGGCACTGGGTTATCATTACATGGTATAACAGAGCACTGAGGAGAGAAACACCAGATACTTTTGGCATTGGGCATCTTGGGTTTGCTATGATTGGTTGGTTTGGGGAATTTTGGGGTGGGTTTCTTTTGTTTGTTTTTAAAGAATTATTCCTAAATTTGTTGGTCTATTTGAAAATTGCAGAAAGACAGTAGAGAGCTGTTAACTCTCTGTCAGTGGTCTGGTGCACGGCTAAAATACAAAGAGGGAGGTTACCAGCCTGAGAGACCGTAACATTAATGCTTTATCCAACAGCCAGGACAGGCTAAGAAGGTTGAGTGTAAGAAAGTGTGTATGGACAGGAATAAGATTAGGATCAAAACCTTAATGGGCAAGTGGGAGGAAGGAGAGGCAGGAGGAAAAAAAAAAAAAAGCTTAATCTGAAATGAGAGTATCCACAAGAGGCAGCTATTGCAAAATGTCTGCCGCAAGATAATTTATTCCACTTAATTTTCCAGTGTAATTAAATCCAGAGGATAAGCAGGAGGGGAGGCGGAAAGAATGGTTCCTATACTCCCCATTAATTATGCTTTTAAGAGCTACTGAGTTGGGGGGGGCAGGGGGGGCAGGTTGGCTGACACAGTGTTTTCTTCATTTATAAGCTTTGAGGAATTATCTTTTACCCGAAAAGAAGCAAGCCCTACTATTTATGTGGACTAGCATCCCTTTGCAAAAAGTTACTTCCATGAAAATCTCTCTGAATAAAATTTTCCCTCATTTTAGGGCTACCTGTTTCTTGTCGCATGTCATTTCAGCCATAACTAGACACCAGTGCTCAGCAGCTGGGAGAGAAGTTATTTCCTCTTTTTTGTGAGCAGAAAAGCACATGCCAAAACAACAAAAGACATACACTAAAATAGAATTTCTTATTTTGGTGCAAGATTGTTTGAATACATACCCTTCCAGCCACTGTTTGGTCTAGCTGAAAGGAATGTCAACAAAATAGATTGTTTATAATACAAGGAGAAATATGGAAATTCCCCTCAAATTTTTTTTAGGGAACTAACACAAACAAGGAGATAAATGGTGAGATTACAGCTGGAAGCACACATTTCACCTTTGACAGAAATGTTCATGAGATTCAGCAGACAGTTTCATATTTAGCCCTTGATTTTCATATGTATGATCAATCCAAACAGAGTAAGAAAGAAGTACCCTGTGCTGAGGAGCAGGTAGGTGGACATCACAGAGAGCAATATGCTCAACAGTCGCTGAAAGAGAAATGTGGGGCTCAGTAACGGCAACACCGAGGAAGAAACTGCAATAAAGAGAGATCCATCAGTCACTACATGCAAAACATTTCATCCTTGGTAACAAGACAACGTTCTTCAAATCTTGACGCTTTATGTACAGAAATTCAATACTGGTCATATCTGCCCTACTTTTCAGAAGTTAGTTTTGCTAAAGAAAACCCAGTGTTTGGAGTATTTATCAAAAGTAATTTTGGTTCTCTATCATGTTAATTCCCTGGCTTTCTAGTTCATACCCTTAATAATTTCTCATGAACTGATGTTCCCTTAAGATAATGTGGAAGCATAATCCCAAAAAACTGTCAAACTTGACTGTTTAATATGACTCTAAGAACCACTTACCATGGCCCCAAGGACCTCCAGCAGGTCACAGACTGCAGTAACAGAGCCAATGTTCCATTGGATTAGATTAGGAAACCTGCCACATTTTGAGCTGCAACTGAAAAAACTTATAGTGCAGATAGAGAAACTATCAACTTATTAACTTCTCTACTTGAAAGGTTTAAACCAGGAATATTTAAGGAACTACAGGGGACCTAACTGTTGTGATTCATGCCTCTTGCCTTTAACTTGTAATGCATTTCTCTAATGCAGGTAGGAGATCTTAAGAGTTGCATGTCACTCCTTAGTGCAGTCCACTGTCTCAACTGCCCAGCCAGCACTGGTTTGCTGTCCCTAAAGAGACTCCACTAGCTGGGAAACTCCTGCAAGTGAGGACAGGGGCCAGCGGTTTGCAGGAGGTGAGGAAAGTTGGGAAGTGAGGAAATGGGCTACTAGAAGAGTGAGTAAGGAGGAAGAAAAGCAGAGGAAAAGCAGCCAGTGCTTGAAGCGAGGAAAGGGAGAAAGAAAAGCATTGCTGTGATGTCATCTTTAAACCTGATTTTTTTTAATATGAAAATTTTATCTCTTTATAAAGAAGTGTGTTGACAAATAACGTTGGTGTGATTCTTGATTGAGGTATAGTGCCCTCACATTACTGAATCACTCAGACTGCATCAACAGTAAGTCATGTTTAATAATCACTCTATTAAGGAACAGAAATAAAACTATAACATATGGAAAGTGCTCACTTGTTTTTATTGTCATAGTATATGTTAGTATTTACAGTAAACATATCAACAAAAGACAGATGAAGCTGTTTCTAAAATCTGTGGGTCAGCATGTTTTATTTCCTGGCTTTCAGTCTTGGCTACTGCTACAATTACAGAACAAGTGACTTCATTTCAAGGGTGCTTCAGTGTTTCAGCATCACTTGTAGCTTTCTATACTTTAAGAAGGCCTGGCTCAAGGAGGAACTCCAGGGACCTCCTCACAAGTCAGAACAGCTGAAAAGAAATTCAACGTGGCAACCAGCCTCTGTGAATGACAGACGTGTATCGCGCTCTGAGTGCAATCATAGATTGAGCGGCTGGTAGATGATAATTAGCCATTCCCTTCCATCTCTGATTTGATGGTTAATATCTGATGTGTCACAAGACCTGCAGGTTTCTGGCTGACCTATACAAATCTCTGTATGTGTCCTCTGCACGCAGTTGTGACCCCAAATTCCTCAAAAATTTGGCAAGTTGCTATGACAGATTTCCACTGATAAAAACTTTAAAACATAATATAAACTCATTTACAAATATCTGCTAACATAAAGATGGCTCTGAAGAACATGGGAAGCAGCTGGATTAACTTTCTAACTCCCGGTTTTACCTCTGTGTTTGTGGTTAAGGTACACTGCCCCAACCATACGGCATAACAGCTAAAGCCATCTGGACACAGGCCTGCAGGAACCCACCACCACTAATTCATTTGCCTCGTTCTCCAAAAATCAGTCTTTCTTCAAACAAATAATTTTAGGTCTAAATTAAAACTTTAAACAAGGTAAGCTTCATATTCATCAGAATGAATAGCTGGGGAGTCTCATTTCCAGCTTATTGCTATTATGAATAAATACTGATAACTGCATTTCTGATTATATAAATACACACAGAGGTGCAAAATGAGAGTTCAACAAGTAACATTATCATTCTTCCACAACTAAGCAAAAAGATGAAGAGGAGTTTGACCACCTCTAATGCCATCAACCTTAGAAAAGCTACAGTAGAGACCTTGGTACCTTAATTCTTACAATGCCACATTTGTGGTAGATGTTCGCGACAAGAGAGATTCTAGTCGTGGTTATGCTAGTGACAAGACACTTCTCTCCAACAGGAGTACTGAGGACATGTTGGATGCCTTGGCTTTTTACCTGCTTAGTTCTGTGTTTAATTATGTAAAACAACTTCAACAAATGCATAAAGCTCCTACCCTGTATATCATATCCACTTAAAATGATTACTTCCAGTCTGAAAGATTTTGCTAAAATATTCACTACCACCATGGCAGCAAATAGACTTTTGGGTTCATACAGTTTACTTCAATTTTAGCTTTATTTTTAGCACAGAAGCACCACCCAGAGCAAAGAGAATTTCTAATATACTTTTTCATCATAACTCTAGACCTCTGTGACTGCCCAAGTCATCTCTTCGATGAAAAATGTTTTTCTCTCACCCTTATACAGGAGAGGAAGATAACTTTTACCCTCAATTCCTGCTCCAGTAAGCCAATCAGGACATCATTGATTTCATCAACTTTACAACTGCAAGGAATTCATCCACACAGAGATCACCACTTAGCTTAGCAGGCTACAAAGAGTTAGGAAAGCATGATGTAAAGGCAAATGCTCCAAAGCAAACTACATTACAAAGAGAGTGTTGCTCACACACACACTGATCACAATCAGCTGTATTAATCTTGAATCTCTTTGCTCAAACAGAAGCAGGATTGCTAAAGCTGACAAGATCTGCTTAAACTAAAACAATGTCACCAGTACAGAAATGTACACAATATATAAAACATCCAGCAACTGGATAACAAGAGTCATAATTCTTCCATTAAGCAATGTTTAAATTCCTGGTCTTGACTTTTAGCAGAGCCGATATCAAACTTCGCATGGGATACGTTTAGGTGTAAAACAAATCCCACGTTCCAGATCACTCAGGGATAAACAATGCCTTACATCATCTAACGGAGCTCTATAGAAATTATTTTATAGCTGAAATACGAAGGGTATTGCTTTACTGTACTCCATAACCCCAGTGATAATTACATTTGCTTTGTTTAATAATCTTAAGATTTTAATTTTAGAGTCGTGAGAAATCCATAGACTTGTGATTTTTTTTTTCTTTAATAATCAGGCTCTTTCAGATATCAAACATAGATTAGCATCATTAGTTCACAAGTGTTTTGCAAGGCAGCTCTGAAAAGCACTTCCATACCCCGAGGGTCTCCACCGTCAACTGCAACTTCAAGTTTCCACTGAC